TGTAATATTATGACTTTATTTTTATATGACTTTAACATTGTAATATTATGACTTTATCCTCGTAAAGTAAAAAAATAAAATAAAAAAATCTCGTGGTGTGGCCCTAACTCTGTCGGTTGAACTCACCTGTTCTTCAGAAATAAACAAGTTCTGTTTATTCTGATTACTTGGGTGAACAATAAGCACCATGTATTTCGATATACCTGGTAATATGCAGCGTGAAACATATATACTGAACAGTTTGCCACCAACRTTGCTTAACTGGGCCGTTTCCTCTGCCTACATCTCCCAGAATGCAGTGCGGTTCTAGATTGGAGTTCAGTGAAATTGCCAACATTCTTTTGGTTGTATTTTCTGTTGATATTGATCACATGTTTATTGTGATATACAACGTTATTGTTTTATCGCCCAGCCTGAGTTTGTTGTRCCATAACGCTGATTAAGAAGACGTTTTTGTTCAAAAGGCAGGTGATCATTTGTTTGCCCACGTCTGTGCTTGTCTTTGACCAAAATATCTCATGAACTGCTCGACTCTTTTAAAGAAACATGCAGCAAGCTATCATCTACGACTGAACAATCTTTGGAGATGACCTAAATCAACATGACTTCCTGAGTCAGCTGACTCTAGAGGTGATGAAAATTGCAGTAATTTGGTCAATTCCGCAAATACTCTGGTAAAATTTTGTTTGTTTGTTGCTGTGAGTCAGTTACAACACATACCAAGATGGGTGCAAAAGGCTAATTGACATTAGCCAACACATAAATGGTTGAAACTCATCCGGTTTTACAGACACTGTGCTAAAAGTTGAAGAGAGTCATWCAGAACACACACAATGAGCCTGACCAAAACAAAACTCTGATGATTTCAGGCTCAAACTCTGGCCTTCATTCAAGGAACACTGTTTGCTTATATTCATTCATTAGTTGAAATGTAAATCTTTGAAAGTAATAATAATACTTATTACCAGGGGAAACATCTGTATTGATTTTTATATTGATTATTGGTGTTTTATTTAATTTTTTAAAAGGGGTGTGTGATGGGGGATGGTTGAACGGAAACGCTGACCTCATCAGCTTGTCTGCTCACTTCACATTTTTATGGTTGTAAACGAAAAACCTTAAACAGTTGTAGTTTTTTTTTTTCTTTGCTCTATATAAACATCCCTCCCTGACCCTTTAAGATTCATCTGATGTTCAAACCAAGTTGTTTCCCTGTGGTGTTTTCTTTATTTTTTTTTAAGTCAAACATCCTTTAGTCTCTGCTCAGTAGAGCGTAATCTGGTTAAATATTAAAGGACTCACCTGGTGTTTCATCACAGTGGACAAAGGTCTTTAAATTGCCCTATGTGTCTGTGTGTACATAAAGTGTGAGGTCCAGATTATTTGTATTACGTGTGCAGATCCTGGCGGTCGCCAAGTTCTGTATTTATTCATCCACTCATAAAAGACAAAAATAAAATGCAGGTTTGGGACCTGAGGGGGAGGTTGTGGTTTTAGTTTGCACCGCAGCACAAACCACACATTTGGACTCAGTTTTCAGTGATTCAAAGATGGGTTTTGGTTTGAGAAAAGAACTGGTCCTGTTTTTTTTTTGTTTTGTTTTGTTTTTTTGTGGACTCGCTCACAGCCAGCTTGTCACACCTCGGTGATCACATGCCTGTTCTGCTGTTACGTCTGGGTGGGAAAACCTCAGCTCCCTAGCAAAAATATTTTTAGCGCACGATAGAAACTTTGTCACTCGTTTTCAGAATATTTTACTAAACCGTCTTTCTTTACACGCTTACAGAATTCAGTCACGTAAATGTTTAACTAATCCCCCTTAACTCTATCTGCTCTCTGCTTTCCTGCTTTTCCAGTTGCTTCCTGCACGTCAGGCAGCTACATGCCCRTTACTTCAATTACTATGTTGTGTGTTTTTAAGGTACGGTTTCAGATCTGAAAAGGAAAAAAAAAAAAACCCTCTGGATCGACTTCAACGTCGTGTCTAAAAGAGGAAATGTAACTTGAAATTATTATAGCGACATAGCTGATGCCACATTAAAAATCTAAATAAAATAACCCGAGGATGGTAAGCTGAGACGCGGGAGGGGAAAGGGTGGGAGGAAGGTGAGAAAGGAGGGCGTTTGATAGAAAGAGGGGCAGGACAGAGATCAGGGATGGTTAAAAAGAAAGAAAACGAGAAAGAGGCAGGGAATAAAAAGGAAAAGGGCCGGGCCGGCTCGTGTTTCAGCCTTCCAGGGTTGGGTGTAATCCTAACTCTGTACTCACAACACCGACTCTCGCAGTCCCACACTTGGAGTCCGGAGGACCACTCCGGGGGCGGCGGGGTTCAGGGACTCCCCAGCGAGCGTTGCAGCAGGTGTGGCCTTCCCGGTATTTTTTTACCACTTGTGCCGCTGATAGAAGATCCAGATCCAGGCGGCTGCTTCTTTAAACCAACCGTTTGCTTTTTAACGCCGGAGCCGATGTCAACAACACCAGTAGAAACAACAGAAGCAAGTGTGAAAAGAAGAAACCGACAGGATTTTGTTTACGTGAGCATGAATGTAACTTTCAGCTGGCTTCGAATCTTCTCATCTGCTTCAACACCAAGGGGCTACGTAGTTAATGTGAGATAACGACGGGGGAGAACGGCACCCAACAACACGCATAAACAACAACCACTGATCTGCTGCGACTGGAAACTATCTTGGTGTAATTTAAAAAACACTCTCTCCGCCCWAAGCGTGTGTGGAGAGGGGCTGTGGTTTCCAGATTACTGGAGTTTCTTAATTACTCTTTTTGGGTTTGGGAATGACGCCGGGAGTCTTGAAACCAAATGGAAGGGAACAAACATGAGGAAAATGATTTAAAGGCGTCATTGTGGCCCAGCAGAGATGATGTGAAGGGGGCTGGAAGTCTGAATTGTCTGTCAGAGTCATGAAGTCTGCAACCAAAGTGACTCTTGTGTTTCAGGACATATATGGATTTGAAGAKTGTATTTGCAATCTTTGGAATAGTGTCTAAATATTAACATACCTGAGTGAAACTCGGTTTAAAACACGGTTTGGTCTGCTGTCCTTCCATTCTGGATTCTGTTTCCCTSAGTGAGGATGAGAGGAGACAGGAGATCCGCTTCCTTCCACAAGGAGAAGCCCGCAGGCCTGTCTCGGGCTCTCAGTTGGCTCAACCTCTCCCACCAGAGGAAGCGCATCTTCCACAGCCAAAACGAGCTCCACGTGGCCCACAACCGCCACACACACTCCCGCTCGCGCACCAGCCTTCATTTGGCGCACAAAGACGAGGATGAAGACGTCGACAACTGGGTGTACCGGCCTCAACACAAAATAGGTGAGAGAAGATGAATACTGGCTTTACATAGAAATGTCTTTTTGAGCCCATATATTTCTAATTATAGAAAGAAAGTCAGTGATTTATGTCGTTTACACACAAGCGAAACAAGAAACTGTTTTTTTCCTTTTTATTGCCGGTTTCTTCATCATCTCTACAACTCACTTCCCAAACAGAGTAAGGGGGACCTTAGAGAGACGTTAGTGAAAGACCACTCAGAGTGTAAAGGGGTAAACAACGGCCTGACAAAGTTAAGTTATGCCATGGGTCCAGTGGTGCCATAGTACCGATATCAACACAAAAGATAAAAATGTCGAAAGGCACACCTTTTTACTTTACATTTGAACGTTTTGCCTGAGGTAAGAAGAGCTTTTACCCTTAGTGCCTTTTTTGGGTGTTACGTTTCCAATTAGTGCCATTATTTATTGATCAGTTCATTAGTTGTGTGTCTTGTTACATTTCTGAGTGTGTGTGTGTCATTCACAGCCTATAAGAGTGTAGGTACAATGGTTGTAACTTTAGCCTTGTATGAAATGAAAAACTGACGATCCATCGCAGGTCACCTCATGACCTTTGACCTTTATTGACATTGGAAGTTGGACATGATTAATTAATTTAACATCGAATTTACTGACAGTTTCCACTTAACCAGRGAGAAAAACGACAACTTCATGCAAAATTAAAACAATTGCCTTTATCAAGCGGCAAGACTTTTAAATCGTCGGCAACTTCYGAGCCGACTAGCAGAGCTGTATAAAGTACCACAAAGTGATACTTGAGTAAAGGTACAAGTATCTTACCAAAAAATTACTTTGGTAAAAGTTAAAGTCTCCTTTAGGAATATTACTTGAGTAAAAGTCTTAAAGTATCAGATTTTTTTTTACTTAAAAATTTAAAGTAAAGGATTGATTAAAAATGAGCAG